CTGGTGTGAATGTAGAACCAACATCGGGGGGTTGAGGGGGGCTTGCCCCCCTCATAGGAATACAATATAATAGCACAGAATTTTACAGGATGACTGGTATGAATGTAAGACCAACATCGGGGGTTGAGGGGGGCTTGCCCCCCTCATAGAAAGACAACAGATCAGCACAGATTTTTACAGGATGACTGGTATGAATGTAGGACCAACATCGGGGGGGGGGGGGTATAGGGGGGCTTGCCCCCCTCATAGAAAGACAATAGAACAGCACAGATGTTAACAGGATGACTGGTATGAATGTAGGACCAACATCGGGGGGTGGAGGGGGCTTGCCTCCCTCATAGGAAGACAATAGAAAAGCAGAGATTTTTATAGGATGACTGGTATGAATGTACAACTTACGTAGGGGGGTGATAATAGAAGCGTTCAGATTTTTTTACATGATGACTAGTATGATGAACCAACACCGGAGACCACAGAAAAACAGAAGAAGCGAACAAATTTTTACTTGTTAAATAATTTAAAAAGTAGTAAATAAAATAAATAATTAAAAAATTAAAAAACACGCCTGCGTTTGTGGGAAAAATTGATCTGAAAAGTAAAAAACAAGTTATAATTTGTGAAAAATTTGGACGAGATACTTGGCTTGGATTGTTCTTCTATTTGGAAAATTGACGATGTTTTTATTAGTATCAAAAACATTCTATAATATGAATAGTTATCTTTACCGTACATATAGGTTCAATATTATGTTTTTTTTGTGACCAGACTTTACAATGCAGTCGGGGGATAGTTTTTTGTCATACAATCACTTTACAATCTCGAAAACTATCCCCCGTTTGCATTGTAAAGTCTGGTCACAAAATACATAATATTGAACCTATATGTACGGTAAAGATAACTATTCATATTATAGAATGTTTTTGATACTAATAAAAACATCGTCAATTTTCCAAATAGAAGAACAATCCAAGCCAAGTATCTCGTCCAAATTTTTCACAAATTATAACTTGTTTTTTACTTTTCAGATCAATTTTTCCCACAAACGCAGGCGTGTTTTTTAATTTTTTAATTATTTATTTTATCTGACAGATGCCGTCCCATGCGTTACGACGCATGCCTTCTCTGTGGAGCTTACGCTTTAATTTTTTTTATGTTACTTCAGTTTATCCCTAGTATTCAAAATTTCATAACATGCCATATTACGTTCTCGTATTAAATTTACTTTTGTACAACAATACAGATCCATAAACTATTATTATGTTCACTGTACGTTATGACAGTTTGCTAACCGCGCAGTCGGCGAATGGAGTAAGTACGCATAACACGCAAGTAGGCTCAGAGTGAGTTGGCGAATCGCGACGGTTTGCGAAACGAGCAAGTCGGCGAACTGATTCCAGTAGGACAAAAAAAAACGCAATTTCCTCATCTCTCACCGAAATAAAATTCGACTTCACTCGCACCATCTCAGAAGAAAAGTTTAATTTCAGAGATGGCCGTTGCCGCCGAGTTTGAAATTGGAATTCCTTGCTCTCTCGCGTGTGGCCATAGCGCCATATAGCAATGACTACAAAGCCCTGATAGACGCCTAATGTGACCAAAATGTGAAGCCTAAAGATTCATCGTGTGCGGCCGATCGCAACCGCGTGCCATGCGGCCGATGCGACTTTATTTGTAGTGTATGGCGTATGGCCGCAGGCGTCAGGGCTTGTACCTTTACACAAGCCCTGACGCCTGCGGCCATACGCCATACACTTTCATACACTACAAATCGACGGTCCCTACGTATAATGACGTAACTGAAAATAGCAAATTTTACAGGAGAGCGTTTTTAAGTTTGAAACAAGTGTATCTCTAGTAATATTTTAGATAGAGTTTTGAAATTTTGAACATGTATTTATTTGGTCAATATGTTTAAGAAAAATATAATAAAATGTTGTATAAATAATTATTTATATATTAAAAATCATATACGTAGTTTTACGTCCGAAAAACTCGAGCTGTAGAATGCCTATGTGGCACTTAAGTTCTTATACGTGGAAATATATTGCAAATAAACAACACAACTGTCAGTTAAGAAATTTTACGTTGGTTTTATTACACATATACCGTATTTCAAATTGGATTTTACCTTGTATTTTTAATTTTTACGAGTAAGTACAAGTTGAAATTGTTATAATAAAATTTGGTTATCAGCTAAGAATAGTTTTCAACAATATGAAATCAACGGTATAGCAAATATTAACATAATTATTTTTATGCAGTAAGTGCCAGATACGGGAGAGAGCACGCCAGGGCGTGTTTACCTTCCAGTGTAAAATAACGTAACTTAACTACCGTCATTTTACGTCGGAAAATGTGTTGTTAAGTGGGTTCCTAACTACCACTACCGTGATTTTACGTTGGAATTGTGTAAATTGTGTAGTTACGGGGTGGCAATTTCGAGTGGAATTGGGCCATTTTGAACCATGCTGTCTTTACCGAAGGTAGCTTATGACAATCTGAGGTGAAAGCAAAGAAAAAAGGCAAATGACTTAGGTACCACTTACGGGATTGTACGTAGGGACCGTCGAAATAAAGTGGCCCAGCAAAAAATTCTATCAACTAGCTGAGGTGCGCGGGTCGGGTGAGGTGATGCGTACAGTTTATTTTTATTTTTATTTATTTCTATAAAAAACAAATTACACATTTTTTTAATTCTTGGTGCCATTAAACCTTAGAAAGGTTTGTGTTGGCACTGCACATTCCTCAGTGTTAGTAATACATATACGAAAAAGACAAACTTAAATGCTTTAAAATCTGAACTTACAGAAATAACATACAAAAATAATGATAGGTACCTAACTATGCATGGGCTGCAAAATGCGACAAGACGTCTGCACAAATAATCTTGTTTACAAGTCTACGATCTGCGTCTGATAAGGTTGTTTTGTTCACGAACGACGTCTCGCTCGCACCCACATCCCATGCGCATGGACCCTGTCAGTCCATCACACTTACGACTATGGAATTTTAACATACAGGATGAAGCCAAACAAATTGAAAGTTGATTGGCCAGAGATCCTGCGATATGTCAGGAATATATAAGATCCTATTAAATTCAGTGAAAATATTTTCAGGGTGTGGTCTATCGAGGCTTTGTGGTCATTGCCATACAGCCATCGCGGCGTCTGTTTGCCGATCTGATTGCAACCCTCGAGGCTTGTTTGAACGCAGCCTGTAATCGAATAGCCAGCTCTGAAGCCACTATAGTTGACTACAGAAGCCACTAAATATACGGACTCAGGTAAACAACCAGGTATGGGTACCTACGTTTGTATATTTACCAGACGGCAGTCAGAGGTTGCTCCATACAGGGACGTTTTCAAAGAAAATTAAGAACAAATCAAACATTTACTTCTATGGTCCGTTATTAAAAGTAGCTACCTTAGATACCTACCTACTTTCGTCTTATAGGAACGTCTATAAACTACAACATTTTATTACGTTTGACAAAATGCCTCTTTAGTGAACGTATCTTATCAATACTTACAGTAATTGAATGAGTTTACAATATAATTAGAAAACTTAGAAAAAATAATTTAGATAATAATTAACTATCGATAAAAGCCAACGGTGGTCATTCTTAATGACTATAACTATTATTATGTAAGTAATTAGAAACCAGTTTGCTAATAGGTAAATTCAATCATTCCTGAGAAACCAAAAGAGTTGGAAGTATCGTCTTAGTATTTTGTGTCAGATCGGAAAGTGCAAGAGTGAAGTGAAGAACAAGAATTAGTACCTAGTATAGTACTTTTAATATAATTCCATGCTAAGTGTAAGAATTATCACTTAAAATAACTATGAAGAAAAGCTCAGTGTTACTTCTCTGTGTATTGTGTAAGTATTTAAAAGCTTTTTTTAAATTTACTTCTTTGCTATTAACTTACGATTTTTCTAAGACTCGTATGCAGAAAAATCGTAGGGTTGGACGTCTTCGTTGGGTAAAATTAGTTCCAATGCGTATCGTAATAATTAGTAATTTAATTCTCAGTGCAATTATTTTAGTTACTTAGGCGATAAGGCCGCCTTTGCTTGTATTATAATGTTTGTTTTTGTTAGTGTTTTTGTCTGTCTGTATTTCATTCGTTTTCACTTCTTTCATGAACAGTGTCATGGATAAGCGTGGCTGTATCATGCGATGACTGGCAACAATGTTCCAAGTTCAAAAAGAAGAAGACGGTAAGCCAAACACTTGTTCAGATAGACTTATTATTTTGCTTATTTCATATAGCAAAAACTAGCTTTAATATAACTTTTTTAACTGAAATGTGTTAACAAGCATAAAGACTAAATAGGTTCCTATGTACATACTAAAAATAAATATTTTTATTTTTATTTAGCGCAAAGTTTGGAACAATTGTCATTGCAACGCAGACAACAATAAGCCTGATCCTGTAAAACCAACACCAGTAAGTTATTTTAACCCGTTCTAGACAGTTTTTTGAAAATATAGGTATAGGTATAAGAATGTGCAAGATTTCAGAAACTAAATTGGTTAACAAAATAGGGTACAAAAATGTGAACATATAAAATCGAATTTCGGGTGAAAAAGGAAGTATTGCTATTATTGAGGCTTATACGTAAGGCATAATCTATAACCACCAATAAATAACAAAAACGACATCAAAAATAATCCCCGCATAATGCTATCTAGACTAGAAGACAGTTATTTCGTTTCAATGCATGAAAAGTCTTTTGTCTTGCCTTGAACTTTTTATAACCTACACAAAATATTCTAAATTTTTAGACGCCTCCGATTAACGATGAAGTGCCCGTGGAAGACGAATCGTGCAAGCCCTACAACCCAACAATGCCGAACTTGGGTCGCCCCGGACAGCGCATCAGCGTTACAAGTGAGAAATATCAACCATAAACTTTGATATCAGACTATTGGGATTGTAATGCACTCATAGTGCTATATAATTCTCACAAGTGAAAATAAGAAATAGAAAAATGTCATCATCGCCCGGGAATCGAACCCGGGCCGCATGGGTAAACGCCCCACCGCTCTGCCACTGAGCTATCGATGCACCGGTTGATGAATGCCAAATTTTCTATCTCTTGATGCTCTTCTCCAAGAGAGAAAAGAGTGGTGGGGCGTTTACCCATGCGGCCGGGGTTCCATTCCCGGTCGATGTATGACATTTTTTGTATTTCTTATTTTCACTTGTTTGATATCACAGTTCATCGGGTCGGTCAAGAGACACCGGTCTCCCACGACAGAAGAGAAGAAGAGCCTTAAACACACCTATGCTTCCTCTTCTTCATTTCGAGTGGGACACCGAGCCGTCTAACGACCCAATGAACCTACACTGAAAAGCGCCAAGTATGCATGCAAATATATAGTTTGGCTACAAAAGGTAGTTAGGTTGTGATTAAGACGATTCCCGAGAGTCATTATTTCATAAAAACTTATTTCAATTTTTTCTTCCCGAATTATGTATGTAGAGCTATAATTCTTTTCAATTACATTATATGCCCATTTGTTTGCTTTTTCAAAAAATTATTACTGGCATAGGTACTAAATTAATATGCTCATATTTGCTCCCCGTAACCCAAGTTCGAAAAATATAATTAATAGGATCTTGTCTATGAAAAATAATCATAGCTCTTCATGAATTATTCGGAAAGAAAATAGGGGAATACGTTTGTATTAAAAGTAAAAAAAAAAAAAACAAAACAGGCAACTCTCGGGTACCTATGCTCTTAAAGCAAACAAAAGAGAATCGCTAACATTCAATCATTTAATTGGAATTAAAATTATATTGACCGGCATATTATGTTGTTTTCTATGTGGTGAATTTTAGTAGGTATTTTATGGCCATTATTTTCATTCCTAGAGTGCCACGAGTACCTTTGGGAAATCAAAGTACGAATAGAACGATCAGAACGGGAGCGAAAATGTAAGTATACGTCTTTTTAAACACAGTTTTAATTATTTTAAATTAAAAACTAAGTAAAACAAGAAAATATATTTCAATAAAACCGAGATCACTATTTAAGAGACCAACTACTTGTTGTTGAAGAACTCTCACACCAGGGTTCATCGGGTCGTTGGACGACTCGGTGTTCCACTCGAAAAGACGAAGAAGACGATTTAATACCCGTTTTAGGCAACGAAAGCAAATGGAAGATCCATATTAATAACAAAAGAAAAGTAACTATCAAACAAACACGTAGACTCAGAGGTCACGATACATTCTGATAAACTAGTACCAACATCTATGATCATAAGCGGACATGACTCCTTTCCAAAATAATATCCTCAAATGGGTAGTTTATATTCTTATAATTTTATTACAGGTAGAGAAAGCAAAGCATTGAAACGCGTTTTTAAAAGAGAAGAACCTAGTGATGAAAAACCGGAAAAAGGGTTTAATCATCCAATCGCTGGTAAACCATCACTTTTTATCATGGGTGGCCACGATGCTTTTCCGAAAGAGTTTCCACACATGGTCAGTATGGATTTCGTTTTCTTGTTATAAAGTTTTAGCCAGTGTGCGGATCTGGTCCGCGCGGAGACTGCCAGCATCATATTCTTTGAGTTTTTTTTAGAGCTAACTATGACCTCCATACAGACAAGCGGACAAGACAAAGGAATGACAGTAAAGTATCCTATGCTCTGCCTGCAATTCTATTCATACTAATTGATAGTCATTCTACATGTAGGTATATTACCTGTCACATAGTTCTTGAATTATACCCAGACAAAAAGAGAGTCACAGCTACATGTTTGCCAAATGTACATTAATAAATAGGTACATATTATTATTATTTTGTTAATAAATTACTTGACAATGAAATGGTCTACATCGAATGCGTGTAAATGCCCGAGGCTATGCTATTTGGATTATTTATGCAGTACCTATAATTGAATACAAACATCGCCTGTAGCATTCCATAAATTGAATATAATTGAAGCATACACAGTAATACTGTATACAATATTAAATGAGAAATTAAAATTGACATTGTTTGTGATATAAATTAGGAGAAACACACGTAACGTCCGCTTGTGTGTTATTTTTGCGTTTCGTAACGAATGTGTTAGGATAGGACGTAACAACGCTGCGTTTGTCAAACCGTTTCATATAACCCATATTTGTATGAAAATAAGGTGAAAAATCGCATTTTCCTAACGCATGCGACAGCGCTGCACAAAAATAACGCACAAACGGACGACGTTACGTGTATTTTTCGCCTTAAATCGTTAATTAAAAATTGCGGACTAAATTGAAAAAGGTAATTAGCTTTAATCCCTGATACTTATGTTTATAAATTTTCCCAAATATGCATTATTCGATTTGACTTTGACGTGGTACCTATCACTATTTGCAATAACTTTAGCTTTAAGTTTTACTTTAATTCGTTGTGTATTTAGCTCTTCATACTTTATTCAATATATTTGCTGACAATAAATACTTGTTGGACACATAAAGATGAAGTTGACTGAACCTGTGATAAGTATAAATATGACACAGCCTCAGCCATCATCATCAAACATAATCTTTGACTTAGACAAATGACATAACAGATGTTTCATAATTTGTAATTAGGTGCTTCTAATCTTGTTCTTAGCAGTGGTTTTAATTGATAGAAATTGGAAAAAATGTGTAGTTCATTCTCTCCTTTCTTAGATAGGTAGGTACATTATTTTAAATCGCCATAGAAGTGTTGTATTGTAAATATTCGTACGTACGTGAGGGTTATTTAATTGATTCACATATATTTTCAGGGTGCAGTCGGTTTCCTAAGTTCAGATCCGAACAGAAAATATAAGTTCATGTGCGGCAGTACACTGATCAGTGCGAAGTTTGCTTTGACAGCCGCACACTGCAGCAGTGCTGACAGCAGGGACACTACCATAAGCGATATAGTGCCGAAAATAGTCCGGTTTGGGGTCGAAGACATTGTCAATTTGGTAAGTTTTTTGCTAAGTTTAGATCCAAACAGACAGTAGAAGTTTATGTGCGGGAGTATCTTTATCAGTGCGAAGTTAGATTGATGCCAGCGCACTGTAACAGCGCAAACAGCAGAGATACGATATAAGCAGCGATATCGTTTCGAAGATAGTCCGATTTGGGGTCGCTGACATTGTCACCTTTGTAAATCTCTTGAACTGTGGTCATTTTAGTAAGTATGGGCTAAATTCAGATCCAAACAGAGCCTATACTATGACTTCATGTGCGAAGTTCGCTCTGACAGCTGCACACTGCAGCAGCGCTGATAGCAGAGACACTACCATAAGCGACATAGTGCCGAAAATAGTCCGATTTGGGGTCGAAGACATTGTCAACTTGGTAAGTCTCTAGAACTATGGTAATTTTGGTAAGTATGGGCCAAATTCAGAACCAAACAGAGCCCATAGGTACTATAAGTTCATGTGCGGTACTCTGATCAGCGAAAATGACAATCGCTTTGACAGCCGCTCATTGTAGCAGCGCTGACAGCAGCAGACCTCGTCCCAAAAATCTTACATTTAGCATCAAAGATCTTGTCACATTATAAGTTTTCTGATAAAAAACATTTCGAAAGCTTTCCTCTAATGTTCTTGTTAATAAGTAGGGGAAACCAGGGTTGGTATGTATGGCTAACATAAACAGGGCGAAGTATTAAGTAGTATTAACAAGCTTATTACTCGCAAACTATACGCAACTTTAACAAGTTTGCCACAGGGTCAAAATTAATAACCATAGTTCAGTTAAGAAAAAGATCCTTTAAATATCAATAAAAGAGTTTTAAAAAAAAAACCTTGGATGATAGTTTGTATTTGTACCTAGATATCTCGTACAATTTTTTATCATAATTACTCTAATTAATAGCTCTAACTTGTTTTGTTTGCATGCTTGCAGTTGCAACCTCCTCCTAACCTCTAAAATGAAATACCTCTGGATACCTATATTTATTTACTTTTTCAGATTGAAGGTGACCACTCAGCAGTAGACCGCAACATTTTAAAGATCCACGTTCACCCTCAGTACAAATCGCCTATAAAGTACTATGACATGGCCTTGTTCGAGCTAGACAAGCCGATTACTTTCAACAAGTTCATTCAACCTGCGTGTCTCTGGACTGAGGACACGACCAGGGTGAAGAACGGGACTGTCACTGGTTGGGGTGTTACGAATCCAGGTAAAGTGGAACTCACAGGCACTGTATGATTTTTTGGTGTTTTCCGGTCCGGATTTTTAGCGAAAGGAGTTCACGGCATGGATATCATGGCACAAGTTGAATCGTCACCGCTTGTCATTTGTATGGCGGTTTTCAAGAAACGAAACATCGTCAGGTGCGATTGAGCTAAACATCAAATTTTAGAAAGATGATATAAGTACCACATTGTAACTAAGTAACGTCCTTATATGTTCTAAAAATACTTACAAGGGCCAGAAAGTTAAGTAAAACATATTATTACGTCTGCTCATTGATCTGATGAATACATTTGTGTCTCTTCTCCAGATGCTCACGAGGGCCACCCATATTTACAAGCTGCAGACCTAGACGTGATCGATGATAAGACGTGTGAGGAGTATTTGTGGTCGTATCACAACAGACGCTGGCGAGGACTTGAAGAACATCAGTTTTGTGCTGGTCAGATGGCTGGTGGAGTGGATTCCTGTCAGGTTCGTAATCTTATGGTACACTTATTTTCCAAGCGTCGCGACAACGACGCCGTCAAATTTTTACGGCGTCGTTGTCGCTGCGGTCTTGGAGAAAAACCCGACCGCATCCCATACAAACTCTAAGCTTCTCAGCGCGCTGTCAACGTGACGGCGTCGTGGCGCGCCGCAACGACGCCGACGCTCGGTCTTCTGGTTCCCCATACAAACCAGTCATTTGACAGCGACAACGACGCGCGCCGTTGTCGCTGTCGCTTGGTTTTTAAGCCTACCATTATGTCTCGATGCTGCTCATGATCATGATGAACTTTGTGATTATAACAAGTGCTATGGTAACACTTCAACGCAAAAAAAAAAAATTTTAATTATTTAGTTATATTTCTTAAATATAAAGTTATTATGATTATAATTGT